AGCCTTAAGTTCCTAACTTTCGAAAACCTCCAACTGAACGAAATTATACTATTCAAGATGAAATTCATACATCATCAAGAAATGGATAAAATAAGAAATATTGATATGCTTCATGAATCTAACTCTCTAAATAGATTTAGTTTCCAAAGATATGAAAGTTTTGTTTTATACTACTGTTTATTTTTTGTAGACTCCACTCCTTTTATTGAATCAATAAGCATTGATAACTATTTGCATGTAAAATTGCACTATCACTTCCTCAATGGTTTAGAACAATTAACAATTGTAAGCTTACAAGTTTATCTATTTTAAATAATTTGGTTTCTTATATGCAAAACCTTGTTGAAGAGAATTCCTATTGTTTAGTTAATGAACTGTCCAAATAAGTCTTTTACAAGTCCAAAGGTTGTTCTCCATGTTCTTTAAAGTATTACGTTTTGCACTAATGCAAGGGTATTCATCATCTCAGGCTTATTCGCTACTTTTGAAACAACTTCTTTTACCATCAATGTCACTATTGAAAAAGTTAGTATCGGATGGGATTGATTCAAAACTATTGTTAAATGAGGGGAAAATAAGTAATGATCGCTCTCCTTTTTGATGAAATGTATTTACAACAGTCTTGTGAATACCATAGTGGTAGATTATTTGGACAAGATACTTAAGGTAATCTCTACAAAGGAATAATTGTGTTTATGATAGTTGGTTTTAAAAAATCAATCTCTTATGTAATTAAAGCTATCCCAGAGACTAGTGTCACTGGAGATTTTATTAAAGATGAAATAGAAGAAAGTTTAAATACATTAAGATCTGCTGGTTTTAACATTCGCACATTGATTTCTGATAACCATTTAACTAATGTGTCAGCTTATTCAAAATTGCGAAGCGTTTATGGATCAAATAAACCAGAAGAAAATTTCTTCGTCACTTATAAAGATCATATAATTTATTTGATGTATGACAGCATATATTTGCTTAAAAACATAAGAAATAATTTAATAGTACCAAAAAGTTTATTTTCCCACCATTTCAGTTTATTGATTACAATTTTAGTATAAATATGTCTGCAGGAGATATATCTTGGGGGTTGCTTCATAGAGTACATGAAAAAGATAAAACTCTTTCAGCAAACTTAAGAAAGGCATTAAAACTAGGAGAAGACATATTCAGTTAACAATAAACAAGATGTCAACCTAACATTAAATATATTTCACGAAACAACTTCAGCAGCAATTCAAAGTTATTTTCCGAATGAATATTCAGCATCTGAATTTTTAAAACTCATTAACTTATGGTGGGTAATATCCAATTTTAAAATGAAGTACTCTAATCATAAATTTGGTAATGCATTTGTAATGGGGGATGGTAAGCCACAATTTTTGCGTGCATTTTCTCAATGTGTTGAAAAGTGGCAAAATTTGCAATACAGTTCCATTGATAGATATTGTCTCACAACTCAGATTTCTAGTTTAATTGAAGATCTTTTACTTGAAGGTTTCAATTATGTTCTTACCTCTAGTTTTCAAAGTGACATTTTTCAAAGTACCATCAAATGATTGGTGGCAGGTTTCTTGTTGGACTGTATGAAGTAAATACTTCTTAGAATATTTTGCAAATGAGATCATTATTAAAAGAAAATTTTGACTTTTAGAAAATAGATAAAATATAGATAAAATAAAATATAAAGAAAATAAAACCCAGTTGTAAATCTAAATTTAATATCGGAACTTTTTATTAATGATATTCAGGAATGTGAGTTAGATGAAAACAGTAAAGACGTTTCTACTTTTATTGCTGGATATATATGCAGAAAATTACTTAAAAAAGTTAAATGCGAATAATGTTCTTTGTTGCTAAAAAGTGATATCATTTATGTAAATACAGAATATATTGAACTGCTATCGAGAGGAGGTCTCATAACTCCCTCAAAATTACTGGCAAATCATGTTATTAATTGTTTTGCTATGCCTGATGCAGTGAAAATAAAGTTTGCTTAGCTCTAATGTATTTGATATTAGAAAAATTTCTGAATATATTTTATATGACTATAATTTAAATCAATGCCTTGTTTGAGAGGATCATTTAGAATGGGCCCTTTCTCTTGTTAATCGAACAATAATAAATATTTCTTTAAACAATGAACAAAAAAATTTAAGTAATGGAAAACGTAAAGATGTTGTATTATCTTTTAAAATAGAGAAAGGAAAAAGAAAAAAAAAAGATATGTAGTTTATATGTATATATATGTTTGTATATATATCTAGTTTATGTTTGTATATATATATGTTCGTAATAAACTTGCTATTAGTATTTATTTTTTTTTGGATAAAAGGACCACTAAAACAAAAACTGGGATAAAAATAGTCATAAGGAATAATTCTCATTAGGAATATAATATATTTTACTGCTATTTGTTAGCAATAAGAAAAATTATTTAAATTGAAATGCGAAATTCAGTTTTACAAATTTTACAGAAAATACAAATTACTTTAAATAAAATCAATCTAAAAACTTTAAATAATATTTTTAAAAAAGTAAAAACTAATTAACTTATGGTTTAAACTAAATAATAAACTTTCAACTTGAAAATATTCGTAAAGATAGGATTTTACTATATAAACCTTTTTAAACTAAAAACTCGAAAATTTATAATATTGAAAAAATGGGATTATAAATTTCGACCTATTTATGCAACATATCCGACCGTGTATTAATTAGGCCATGGCAAATATATATGTACAGGCTTCGGCAGGAATAAAAACCGTACGGGCTATGAAAAGCCTGTCTTAAATTCTAAATTAAAAATAAATTCTAAAGTTTGAACTTTTTTTTTTTTAAATTTGTTAATTTCTCTTCTTCTTTTTGAATGAAAATGTCATTGAATATTAAACATTTTGTGAATTGCACTAAAATAATATGTTAGAAAGCGATTAACTGTTTAAAATGCTTAATTACTTAAGTAATTAAAACACTGCAGTAAATGAGTTGGATAATACTTAAAACTAAGATTTCAATAATTGTTTTTCAAAGTTTTCACTTGCACAAATCTAATTTCGTTTCACGTGGGTTAGTTGTTTTATGGTTGCTTTTGTTTAGATTTCTTACTCGAAGAAACTTTATTCAGTTTTTTATGTTTTTTTTTTTAAATCTTTATTCCAGATAATATCTGGCAGATATAGTCAAACGAATGAACGTGAAAACGACAGGAAAAATCCTCGAAACAACCATGGCGTTTCATCACGTTTCCTTATTCAAGCATCCTAACGTGTTTTTTTACCTTTCTTTTTGAGTATATTTATATATTATTGTTTTATTCAAGTATTCGATTAAATTATACAGGTTTTTATCGTGCTTTTTTAGTTCATTCGTTTCTCTTATTCTTTGTGAATAAAAATATTACATAATATTTTCAAAATCTAATTTTTTTGATTATTCAGCAAATAGTTTGAAATCTTTTTTTTTATAACCTTGAATCAATGAGCTCGATAGTTTTAGAATTGTTTGGTATTAGCTTGGTAATATGATACGTAACTATGTTATTTTTCAAATTCAATTATTTATATACTCTTGCATTCTATTGGGCGTGCAAATTAAAAACTTAAACTGTTATTTATATTTTTATAACTTTGCTTTACCTATGCCTATCCTGATCGGAAATAGTTATTCTGATACGTGAATAAAAAATTTGAAATCTAATTTCTTTTAATAAAATAAGTTTTTATTTAGAAGTACTAATAATTTCTTAAGATACTGGGGCTTCCGTTACTTTATATACAATATAAGCATGTATATAAGCATATGTATGTTGCTAGCTTTAACGTTCGTAGTGCCCTCTATAAATGCTAATGCTTTTGATTTTGCCAGACCTTTTAACTCGCGAAGCAATTCTTTTTTATATTTTATACAAACCATACACCATATCTTCACAAAAAAAATTGTTCCATTCTCCACCTCAGTTTCTTTTCCACAGACTCCATCTTTACCCCAACTCAAAAATGTTGCTAATGTAACTCTTCTACCAGATGATGCCATTACTATCTTTACTGAAAAACTTGAATAACTTGAAAAACTTGAATGACTGGATAACTTGAATAACTTCATAACTATAAAGCAACACTATTTATATTATCTACAAAAATTGATTAGACGTTTGTTGATTTTTAATGAGATATTTCATTTTCAATAATGAGTTATATAATTGCATATTAAATAAACTGCCGTCTCTTTAAGAAAAAACGTGAAGTTAACGCGGAAGTTAACGCGGAAATATCACTTTAAATGTCTTTAAAGTAAGACAAACTAGTTTATCGGAAAAAAGCGAAATACATGGATAATTAGTTTATTATCGTTATTATTATAAACATTGAAAAACCAAAACAACATGATACTTCTTGTGCATCACATGTGTATATTTCCCTATTTAATATAATAGTTATTAAATTTTGAACATAATATGGTAACTGTTTGGTATTATATCAAACAGTTATCGTCGTTTAGAAAACTGTAAGATTTAGTTATATTATTTTCTACATCATGTTATACAATAATGATTAAATTGTTTAATTTTTATATTTAAATATAAACAATTATAAGTTGGAGTTTGCTATCCATATTAAAATTATGTCATGAGAGAAGTTTTAAAAGAGTATCTTAATAAAAAAACATCAAAATATTCATCTTTTTTTTTACACAAACTTATGTTTCAGACAGGCTTTATTTTGCCCGTCTAAACTACTTAGACGGGTGCGGACGCGGGCTATAGCCCGTCATTCCTGCCGAAGCCTATATATATATATATATATATATATATATATATATATATATATATATATATATATATATATATATATATATATATATATATATATATATATATATATATATATATATATATATATATATATAACTTCATAATTCAAAATTAAACCTAATCAAAACAATCTCAAGTAGTAACAATGTACTTTAAATATCCTGATGTATATCTAAAAAATTTTACTTACCCTCACTTCACTGTATAAAGCAGGAATCAATTTTAACTCACTATCTTGCAAGGTAGATACCTGCAAATATTAGATGTTATTTAAATAAGAACAAATCAAAAAATTAATAGACTCATAATATAATGATTATCCAAATATTAAATAGCACAGCCAATAATATTACTTGTTTTAGAACCATGGGTAAATTGTTACGATCTTTTTGACTCATGGCTTCTGCAAATAAAAAGTATAAAATACAGAAATCATTCTTTTATATTTGCAAGATCATTTCTACATCAACACTTTAATTCAATATTAAACTATATACAAAGAACCAAATTCAAAATCATTTACACAACTTCTGTTAATAATGGTATGCAGAGATGTCTTAGAAGTTTTACAAACACACGCAAACACAAATTTTACCATAAACACCAATGCCATTTTATATTTATATTTCAATATTATTATTATATATTTTGAATTTTTATTTAGAATTTATTGTAGATTTTCTTTTTTTACTAGACTTTTAAAAATAAATGACTAAATCAAAATATGGTCACTTTTAGTTATAGTTAAACAAAAAATTTAAACAATTCAATTTTTTTGCAAGATAACTTTTGTTCACAAATGTTAAAAAATAGGCACAATTTAAGCAGACAAACAAGTCACTAGCAAAAGGACCACCACAGGCTTCAGCCTTAAAGTAGCCATAAAGTAGTCTCTGGTAATTTAATAGACATTTATGAAACCGGACAGCATTTTTCAAATCTCTTTGGTGTCTGAACCTCTCTTTACAACTAGGTTAAAAAAAACTATCCAGCAGCAATCAAACTTCCTATAAAAAATGTACAACTTTTTAAACAGACACCAAAAACATGAAGATGAGACTGTCATTAAATGATGCATACATTAGAAGCATTTTAACGGTAACAATATCCTTTCACACCACATTTAATGATGGAGAATTTCAAGCATTTGAAGAATCAAACAAAAATGCTGCAGTGAACTGCAACAAAACAACAAACTAAAAGTTCTACTTAACATTTTTTATAAAATACTTCAAGATATAGGTTGTTTATAAATACTTCAAGATATAGGTTGTTTATCAAGACTGCAAGATATAGGTTGTTTGTCAAGACTTCAAGATATAGGTTGCTTATCAAAACTTCAAGATATAGGTTGTTTATCAAGACTTTAGGACATAGGTTGTTTATCAAGATTTCAAGATATAGGTTGTTTATCAAGAGTTTAGGATATAGGTTGTTTATCAAGACTTCAAGATATAGGTTGTTTAAAAAAGACTCTTGAAGCGCTTAAAACCCTTAATTAAATTTCAGTCAAAATTTTCTAAATTTTACAACTAAAAGCAAGCAACAAACAAATCATTTATTGAAGAATTTAAGGATATATTAAAATTAATGAAAAAAACTTTCTAACCTGAAACATGAAATGAAACACAACTAAAAAATAAAAGTCAAAAAGAGGCCAACACTACATATTCCTTGACTCACAAGTTTCACTTTTCATGCTTTTAAGTTTTGACATAATGAAAAAAGTAACTCAACCAACTCATTAAAAATATTGCAAAAAGATCATTAAAAACTAAAAATCATTAACAAACAGAAAAATTAAGAACTTAAAAATATAGCTTATACTGCAGTTTACTAATGTTACAATACAATACTAAAGTTTTTTACTTGATTTTTCAATAGCATGGTTCATGAAACATATGCATCTAGTATTTACCATACAAGCAACAAACTACCATGCTAGTTCTACAAGCTAAACAGAAACCAGGTTTTTCAATTTTTCAGAAAAAAAACTTTTTTTTTTTTTTTAAAGTTTAAATACTTTTAAATACTTTGACTACCTTAAATTTCCCTTTTAAGTTATTTTTGTTTTATTTGCTCAAGTTATGTATCGATACTTAAATTTTTATTTTAACAATGCTATGTAGAAGAGAACAAGAGACCTTACCAAAATATGAATATCAAATTTTAAAGTCATATTGTGGTCAAAAATTCTTTGTATTTATTAAAAACTTAGAAAAAAAAAATAATTTTAACAAGGGCAGGATTGAAAAGCCATTTTTTCAAAAGGAACCTTGTAAGCTAAATTTGAAATTTTAGAAAAACTAAAAACGTTAAAATGGGGCCCATAATACCTTACATGCTACCTATAAATAATTTAGTTTCAGGTAAAGATAAAGTGTGTAGAATATTAATTTTTTTGTTATAACCATTGAAACTTGTGTCATGAAAAAAACCTATCATTTGATTCGTGACACAGGTTTTAAATGCCTATAACTAAAAATTTTGAATTTTACTAACATTGATTTTACTCAAAGTTAAATAGGTATTTATAGGTAGTATGTAAGGTATAATTACTCTTGATTTAATTTTTTTTTTTTTTTTGAATTTTTAATTTAGTTTACAAAGGTGTTTACAAATTCCTTTTGAAAAACAAGAATTTTCAATTCTGCTCAAAATGATAAAAAAATATTTATTATTTCAAAAACTTCTAAAGAATTTAAATATCCAACATTTCTGTTGAAACTTATTTTATTTTACCAAAGCATTTATTATATTTTTTATTTACATATGTTATAATATAAAAAAATTATATTTAATTTAAGTTTTTAACTCAACCTCGCAAAGTGCCTTAAACTAGTTTTGCAAAACAGCTTCATTAAAAAAAGAGTTCTCAGGTTAAATCTAAAAGTTTCAGTTATTTAAATAAATTATATATATTTGCTCAATGAATATATATGCTTTTTAAAATATATCAATAATTATATAAGTTTTTGAAAACTTCTTTTAACAGTATTATAATAGTTAAAATATATATATATGTAATATTAAAAAAAAAAAAAAAAAAAAACATTTAAAAAGGTTCAAGACAATCACCTTTTTGCAAACGTGTCATTAACTCTGGTTTCTTAAGGGGTTTTATTGCTAACACATGGATGACCCTTTCTCTGAAAAAATATATTATTTTTTGATTTAGTATTTATATATTAACAAACACATAAAAAATAAATATCAAATAAAAAAAAAAAATTTTTTTAGATGTTTATTAATCAAAAGCAAATTACATTGAATTTTTTTAATATAATTAACAATTATTAATTTTAAAACATATACAGTATATACACTAAAGTATATAAAATAACAAATAACATAACATTAAGTAAAATACCTGCAACTTAATGTTGTTTCATTTATCAATGAACTTTTTGGTGTGACAACATTTAAAGAGGAGCATTTAGATGCAACATGATTCATTGTTGGAGTTTTAGTTAAGCTTGACGAAACAATTTTATTGTTCAAAGGTGAATTCTTGGATGATACGGCAGATTTTATTTGTAAGGAAGGTGAATTCTTATTTGTTCCAGGAGACACCTGGTTTGAGTTATGTGGTTTTAAAGTGACTGTTTGTGAATTATGCTTCTTCATGTCAGACAATCTGCGTTCAACCTCAGATGAAATAGGTTTAGACTTGTGTTGCTTTTTACCTGAATTATTTTTTTTAGGTATTTTTATAAATTTTATTGCATATTTAGAAATTTATTTAGGTACAAAAATTATTATCATCTAAATTATTCAAACAAAATCTCTATCTCTATAAAGGGATAGAGTAAAAAAACGATTAATCGCTATTAAATACTAATTGCTTTTTCAAACAAAAAATTTCATAACTTTAATTATTTGCTAAATTATTTAAGATAATAGAACATAGTATAATGAATCAAACTATTTATTTTCACAAATTTTAATGTTCAGGTTTGAGAAAATTGTTTACTTTAAAATGCTCTTTAAATTTTGATTACGAATGTATCTTTGGCTGATTGAAAAGAAAAAACTTGCAAAACAACAACAAAAAACAACAATTAAATAAAAAACTATAGTAGCTTTTTTTTTACCTTTTTTGACATCCAGTTTAATTTCTTTGGTACTAAATAACAAAACAATCTTGGTACTTAAATTTTTATACTAAAGTTACATTAAAAAGTATATTTGAAAAATTTTAGATATAGCAATTACTAAATGAAAACATTGTTATTTTTAATTCATTATTGAAATACTTATAATTAATACTAATTACTATATAACTGTTATTTATATAATAAAGACTACTTATTGAAATAATTAGTTTTAGAGCTAGTAACTAACCAACAGCTCTTAGTAACCATGGCCAAACTTAACAAAATAAGGCAAACAATTGACAACAAAATTTAATTATTATATAAACAACCCTCAGAATTAGGGTCAGCATTCGGCAATGCCGACTTATTCCAACCTGAAAGTGTTTAAGATGGGCAATTTTTGGCTGACCTCGTTTCTATGTTTTATGGTAAGATTAATGGTATTAAACCTTTTTTGCCGACCTGATACTGACATCTAAAAGATTGAGGTCATTTTTCCTAATTCTGAGGGTTGTATAAATGGGCAATTGTTATTGTTTAAATAAAATATTTAAAGAAATTAAAATTAATTTTTAAACTTTATTTACAAATTTACAAAAACTTTTTCATATTCAACTCATTTTTAAACCAAATTAAAAAAATAAACACTTAAAATAGTACTCTTTAATAAAGATTTTAGCAAAGTACAAGCAAAAACATCTTATACAAAAACTAAAGATTTTTTAAGTTGTCACAAAACCTTTATAAGCAAAGAATAAAACTTTTCCAAATAGGCCACATTTTCATGAAATTCTCATATATGCCACATTTTTAATTACTTATTTTTAATTAGATTTATTAATTTGAACTAACTTTTAAAGATTTTAAATGCCTTTTCAAAAATCTAAAACCTCATAAATCATACAGACATTTTATTTAATTACTTAATTATTATTAAATTGTAGGAACTTAAAAAAGATTTTTTTTATCTTTTCTTATTCTATCAAACAAGAAATTTCTATGAACCAATTAACAATAGTAAAGGTTATTCAAGGAAGAAATTTAATGTCAGCAACTATTGTGCCATATCTATCTGTCGATATTCATCAAAAGTTTTAAAAAGAACTATGTATAACAGAACTTATTTACTTATTAAAAAAAAAAAAATTAGCAAAAATTAGAAAACCTAGTTCATTAGTTTACAAGAGGTATAACTAACTTATTTAAACATTTCCAATATACAGTTGGTGTTTTTACTAAGTTGATACAATCTACCACAAAATTCTTTTAAATAAACTAAAGAATTACAAAATAATTGGCAGAGATTTAAATCATCTACAAAATCAATATGTAAAAAATCTACAAAATCATCTGTAAAAATAAAAGTTAAACATCTATGCAAATAAATGAAGCCAATTTGTGGAGGCTAATACAACATCCCTTGTAAACTTGCTTGATATTACCTCAGGGATCAATATTAAGACCTTTGCTAACTAATTTACATCAACAATTTTCATAAAGCTTTAAACTTAATAACAATTGTTTCCTGATTATTTTTATTTTTTTTTAAAAAGGCTACAACACTTTAATAATCAAAATAGAACTGTATTAGAAAACCCATCTAAACAAATACAAGTTTAACATTTATGGACATTAAAAATAATGATAATAGATAGAATTTAATAACTATGGCATACAAACTTCTTTTTAATATTTTTTATTTTAACTTTTAAATTTGAGTTCTTTTGTAACTATTTCATATATGATGTAACTATTTTGTAACTATTTCATATATGAATCAACCTGATGATGCTGATACAACTAATCAGACAAATATTGAAACCACACCATTTCTTTTTATTGATGACATCTCAAGAAAATAACAGATATTAACTTTCTTAGAATGAATATTGATAAAAACCTATCTTGAAAAATTCACATCAAACAGGGTAGTAAAATATCAAAAAGTGTAAGAACTTTATACCAAGGCAATTTTCTAAATAAGCACACTTTAGTTAAACTTTATTATTCACTTATTCATTGTCACAAACTATGTAACAACTGAGCGGGATATTATTAATAAAAGTAAACTTAAGCTCAACAGAAACATGTTGAAAATCTTACAAATTGTAAGGCTTGATCTATTCACACTATGCTTTAATAAATTAAAATGAAAGTTTTAAATATAAATGATCTAAATACTTTTAATATTGCTTGTTTTATGTTTAAAAGTAACAAAAATGGATCTCACGTACCACCTAATTGTTTGCATACTGAAAAATAAAAAAGTAAATACAGTTTATGATATGATAAACATATTTGCAAGTCTTCCCAGCAAAAGGACTGGGAAGACTTGCGAATATGTTTATCATATCATAAACTGTATTTACTTTTTTGTACATCTTGTTGATTCACACTTGAAGTAATTTTTTTAAACACACTGACCACAGCAGTTTTTTTAACTTTTAAAGTGTTTAATAATTCGCGGCAAAAAATTAAATTTATCTACTGAGAAAAAATAAAAAAAAATTAAAAAAAGGAAACAAAATAGTAACGAAATTTCAAATTTTTATTAAATAAACTAGAAAAATTTATAATTAAAAAAATTATTAAATAAACTAGAAAAATTTATAATTAAAAAAAAGAAATCTTGAAAAAAAAAAATTTTCTTTAATTTTTATATAAATTTTGTATTTTTATTTTTAAGGTGGTTATTATTTTAATCTACTGAACTCAATATAAGTTGAGAAAAAAACAATTTTATAACAACTTAATTTTTTATTTCATTTCACTCTGCTAAACTTCATTGCCCAGTTATATAAAAACTTGCCAGTTCCAACACTAACTTATGGTCTTGAGCTTTGTGAACAAAAAAAAATATTAATGCAAAAGCTTGATATAGTTGGAAGAAACGCACTGAAGTCACTCCTTAACATTTCAAAACATAGCAAAAATTATATTCATACTAGGGTTGTTTGCCAATAAACAAAACTTATGAAAATCATGCATTTCTATCTTTTGTAATAAAAATTGCTATTACAAAAGTTGTACATGCGCAAATTCATCTTCTGTAACACATTATACAAAAAAATAATAATTATTCCGTAATAACGCTTTACAAAAACAAACTTGCGTAAAAAATTATTTCGAAAGAATATTTGTGAAACAGTTCCTTACGGAAAAAGCATTTCGGAATGTGCACTTACAGAAAAAAGTGTGAAAAGCAATAGCGATTGCGATATGCTTAATACGAGCCCTGTAAGACTTTTTTATAAGTTCTAAACTATTTAAAACTATTACTTAATAACTTTTTTTTAACGACGCCTTTCAACCGAATTCTATTATACTGTTTTTGCAAAACTAATTAAAAAAACTTGATTAAAACTTAACTATTTAGTCTCGACTTTTTTTTACTGGAAAATCAAAGTAGATATTCTTAAGTTGTTGTGACGTACTAACATGATTTTTGACGACTAACAATCGAGTTTCAATGGTAAAAAAATAAAATCAAAATGGAGTTGTTTTCCAGTGATTTCGGCAATTGCTTTTTGTTAGCATGCATTTATTATTACAATTTAGTGAAAAAGGAAAAAAAACTGACAAATTTTTTTATTATGCTCTTTCATATGAGATCATATGTTAGGAGCACTTAGGGATCCCTTTAATAAACTTTTTTTTTTTTAATATTTTTTGATAATTTAAAGTTAGTTTTTTATTAAATAATAATTAGATGTAAGTTTTTTATTGAAAAGAGTTGGCCTAATTTTATTAAAACATTAGAAAAGATCAAAGTTTTATAGTTCATCACGTTGGTTTTGTATTAGGAGAATTTTGAAAAAATTAATAATTTTTTTAGATGTTTAATTAAAATTATTTATATTATAATTTTTTTAATATGTTTATGTATTCTTCTTTTGATTGATATATAAAATTACATTAATAAATTAAAAATAATCATAAAAAAATTTACGTTATTATTAAAAAAATTCTAATTTTCCTAAAGAAATTTTAAATTTTTTAATAGTTTATAAACCTCAAATTCTCACTTTATTTATGTACTTTTTATATCAAAATTTTTTTTAATTTTAATAATAAAGTTGTAAAAGAGGTTTAAACTAAAAATAAATATCAATTGATATAAAAAAAAAATACCTGACATCCTTGCGTTCTTGATCAACTTGGGCCATTCGATTTCGTGTTTGTTCGTAACTATCATCACTAGCAGCAACAGAGAGTTTTTCTTCCAACTGTCCATATGATATGAATTCTTCTTTAGTATGTTTAATGCACTCAAGAATTCCTTGAAGTGGGTTAGTCTCAACAGAAATTAATTTTGAAACAACAAAATCAAATTTTTTACACACGTCTTTACCTGCTGAGCCTGGCCTGCAAGGGATAGTAAAAGCCTAAAAATTAGAAAAAAATGCAATCAAATTGCAAACCTAAAGTAACCTAAATTTTTCTTTGGTACAAACTTCAAGTACAAACTACACATAAAACATAAAAATAATATGTGGCAGTGGTGTAGCGGTAGAGCGCTAGCTTCATAAACGAGTGGTTCCGAGTTCGATCCCCACCATGTCCCTGGTAGTACCGCGCTAAACTCGTTTCTCCGCGCAGCGGCCTTGTTCATCAAGGTTCGTGTTTCGGAGTTATAGAGTTGAGAGAGAGTTATAACCACAAATAAGTAGCCTCCTCGTCTGTAGTGGCCTTCTCGGCGTTGAGGAGGTGAATTAAATTAAAAAAAAAAAAACATAATATACAATATACAACACAAACACATGCAGGCTTTCACAGGTAGACGTGCGATTTCACGTCTTTATATGACCACGCAAAAAAAAAAATGTTTTAACGATTTGACCACGGCATTTTTTTTTTTTTATTTAAAAACGCGCTACAAAAACTTACCTAAACTTATCTGAAAAAAAAATTTTAAAAAATAATAAATATTAACAAAACAGAAAATAAAAATAAATACTTAATTGAAGCAAAAATACAATAAAATAAATACATATATATAACGCAACTAAAACAAAACTCATCAAACTAAAATGCTTAGTCTATTTAATTTACGCATTAAAATACCTTTTCATCTTTGTTTCAACATTTTTATATATTTTTTATTTATTTGATATGTTCAAAAGTTAAATATTTCTCATAAAAAATACATAGTTATATAAATAAAATAAAAAAATATTTTATTAATACCTTTTTTTAAATTAATTAGAAGCGTGTTTTTTTTTTTACTCCATCAAAAGCGTTTCGATAATATAAAAGCATTTAAGATCAAACTTATTAAATAGTAACGGTTTTCTAAAACTTTTTTTTTTTCAACAAAATTTTGTTTATCTTTTTAAATACATTAACATTAATCATTCTTATATTTAAATTCGTTAAAGAGACTTTCGTAGTCGTAGAATGTCATCGTTTATATAAACAAAAAAATTTTTTATAAATAAAATAAAAAAATATTTTATTAATACTTTTTTTTAAATTAATTAGAAGCGTTTTTTTTTACTCCATTAAAAGCGTTTCGATAATATAAAAGCATTTAAGATCAAACTTATTAAATTGTAACGGTTTTCTAAAACTTTTTTTTTTCAACGAAATTTTGTTTATCTTTTTAAATGCATTAACTTTAATCATTCTTATATTTAAATTCGTTAAAGAGACTTTCGTAGTCGTAGAATGTCATCGTTTATAAAAATAAAACAATTTTTTATTTTTTAATAAGATTTATTTTAGAAATGAACACTTAAACAATTTATATGTTTTAGATTAAAAAAATATATACAACTGTCAATTATATTTAAAAAACAAAACTTTTTTTCAGAAAATTGTTACTTTATTAAAAATCGTTTCGCTAATATAAAAACATTTGTTAAGAAGTTTTGATGTCATTAATTTCACTTTTTTTATTTAGCGCATTTCTAAAACGTTTTTTTGAATTAGCCGCGGTCAAACCATCATAGCAAAATGTAACTTGCGTGGTCATATAAAGATCATTTCACTAATGAATCAGAGGTTTTCTGAATTGAAATTTTAAAGGCCTCAAAAACATTATTATAATAAAAGTAAAAATTGTTATTGTCACCAAAAACCTTTTTTAAGATAACAATTGATAACTCTAAATAAAACATAAAAGCAATTTTTTTTAGTTTCTTTGAGTTTTTAAAACATAACTTCTCAAAATTCAACCTTGATTTTGGTAAATGACATAGGTATATATTAACTAAACATTAGCAGTTAAAATTTTTAAACTATTGCATAATAAGGTTTTGAAACATTGTTTAAAGTTATAAGAAAAATCAGAGAAACACATATTTGAGAAAAACATACACAAAAAAAAAAGTTTCAGGGTATGCTTTTTAACTTCTAAGTAATTTACAGAAATGGAAAAAGCAGATACGGTATTATATGACATAAATGCTGTTTTTTTTAAAGAAGAAAATAACCATTGCTAAGATGCTGCTAGGATGCTTATTTTTAAAATATATGTAAAAATGAAAATAACAAACTTTAATTAAAATTTTCTAAAAATAAGTATCCAGCATTGAAGAGCAACAAATTCTAAACAAGAGACAGTTGTTAAAAAACTTGATTTTTTTTTTTTTTTAATGCACAATTTTTATAAACATAAAATTTTTTTTGCATTAAACATAAAGATGTTTGTACTACAGCAAGGGTAAAAATGTTTCATTAGTAATTTTATATAACTTTTAACATTTATTTGGTGAAAGCACTGTTGTTATGCATTTCTCACAAAAAAAGTTCCAAAAAAATCTGAGCAGAATACTTTTTAAAAGATCCAATTTTAACATGGACTATTTTTCCAGTGGAAGCTCATAAATGAATAAAATAGTTAATCTTCTTCAACTACATAACAAAAGCAAGAATAAGCAAGAATTTACCTTAGGAACATTTAAAATTTATGCAAGGCACAAATCAAGTAATTACAAATCACAACATTTGGAAATACTTCTAGTCTTTGGTTTTTGCTTTTTTTTTTTTTTTAAAAAAAAAAAACCAACAGTAAGCTTTGTTTTTATCACAAAATCCCATAATTATTGTTCAATAAAAAAAAATTCATGAATTGACCTTGAAAATATGATATAAAAACTTATTACAAAACCCATTAAGTATGATTTAAACTTCATTTGATGTTTAATGAAAGTTTAATTCATTTGAATAATCATCAGATAAAACTAGAAAAATAGACCAAACAGTACAATGTAATATTTAAAAAAACATTTAGTGGCAAAAAAACATATAGAGTGGCAAATGAAACAATTATAAATCGCAACAATTTAAAGGAATTTAGCAGTGATCAAATATTTTAAAATGGGATGAACCCAGACCTATTCTGGTACCGCTGGAGCAGTTTAGGCATCCAAAAAATATTTTTTATTTGTAATTTTTCTTTTGCTTTTTTAATAAAAAAAAGTGCAAAAAAGTTTCTATTTAAAATACAGTAGTAAATTTAGTAAAATACATTCTCTAAAAATTTCTGGTCAAATTCATAGTTAATTAAAAACCATGAATCCTTAAACAATTTGATTGCTTTCTTTTATTGAAGAAAGTGATCATAATGTTTAAGCATGGTTTCTTTTCTGTTTTTAGCTATTACATTAAAAGTTTAAAGCAAATGATTTCAATATAAACAAAATTGTGCATGCATTTTTTTTAATTTTCTTATTTTCCATAAAGTGAAATGTTTGTTTGCTTGTTAAAAACACTTTTAAAACTTTTTTTTATTGTGTATTTATCATTAATTTGCGCTCGCTTTACAAATGCGTAAAAAAAAAGTTATTGAAAAATAACAAATGAATAAATTTACCTAGTATCTTTAATATATTTGATAACTTATTAACTAGAACAAAAATTATTTGAAATTTGTTTGACATAAAGCTCTTAAATTAGACGTTCGCAAATAAATAAAGATACCCAAGTCAATGTTCATTAAAAAAAAAAAACGGTACCTCAGGCCCTGGGATAAAAAATAGTTAGCAAATGCGACTGTTTAAAGATTATTGTAATTCTTTTTTTTAGTAAATAATCTCTTTATTAGAAATTATATTTCCATGACAAAAATGTTTTTAATTACTCATACTCATTTTGTACTTATTTTGCCTTAAACTCAAATCTGAATATTTTTTTCAACGATTGCTTCTATCAAGTTGCATTAAAGTACTAAGGAAATTTTGTGACAGTTTAATTGTAATTATGGAATCAATTAAATTAAAAATCGCACTTACATTTGCTTTGCTTTTTTTAATGCATTTTTTAAACGTGCTAATTATCAAAACTTGCAAAGAGCTGTGGTCAAGTTATTAAAACAAAGAACTATATTCGTGGTCATAAAAAGCGTCCGATCGCACGCCTCTTACGAGAAAGCCTGTATATTGTATATAATATCAGCGCAAATTCAATTTTTGAATGAAAGAACTTTTGATTCTTGCCTCGTTATTTCATTTTACTTTAGGAAATTGAAAAAATGAAACAAAATCTTTTTCAGAAAGTTTTGTTTCTCTCCATATTCTTTTCAACTTGACCATTAAAATAAAATTTTAGTTTCGTAAGGTTTTCTATTTTAAGTTTTATTAAAATTTAGTTATTTTTAAAGTTCGATATCTTTATTTTAAAAAAAATTCTAAGCAAATAATTTAATTATATTTTTTTATATTAACTTTAACATAATTATCTCTTTTATTTAATCATTATTTTTAATGTCGACTTCAAACTGTTTTTTTTGTTTGTTTGTTTCGTTTTCTTTGCCTTATTTAATTTTGTTCCTAAAAATAATAACCACTCTAAAGAAACAAAAATCAAAAAAATGACACAAATTATTAATTTATTTTAATTTTTTTCTATTAAAATTTATTTTAATTTTTTATTTTGTTAATTTTGCTTTTTTTGTTTTTGAAACTTGCAAATGATGGAGACCAAGTTGTCTAAAATAAAATATAAGTAGTTATACGAGACAAAAAAACGCACACATTTCCTGGGAAGGCTTACGTCAATACTCGGAAAAGTACCTGTCTAACAACAGTTCAAGAACAGTTCAAGTTAGGCTTCAAAAAGACCTAGACTTACCACGGCATATATGACCACCAAAAACATTGCTTTTGGTTGCTATGGTTAAAAAAAGAATTGCCAAATGCAAGCAATTCTATCTCAAATACACCCAAAGAACTGTCAACCATAGCTTCCTAAAAAAAATGAATTTTGAAGACAGCACAGTTCTTAAGTAAAGGAATTAATGTGTTGGATTGTTTTCTATTGGGTTGAGATCTGGGACCAAGCAGTCCCAGATCTCAACCCAATAGAAAACATTTAGATAGAAATGAAATCAAAGATTTGTTGAGCATACTGCACTTTGATTCTATAACTGATGACAAAAATAAAAAAAAGTTTGGATTTGGAAAGAAAATATCTCTGAAATACTTTTCAAAAACTCTTTGAAAGCAGGCTAAAACATGTAGAAATGCTACTTAAAAACAAAGGGCAGATAACTAACTATTAGATAAACAATGAAAACTAACATTTATAGTTTTCTTAAGCATTTTCTTTGATTTTTTTCAATAAGTCAGACGCTAGTGTATTGCAATGTTAAATCAGATTCTGCGCTAGTTGTAATTTTAGAAAAATTTTTAAAACTATTTTTACATAGAAAACTAGATTAAAAGTTTAATACAGACATTGTAACCTTATGCATGTTTAGTATAATGACACTTTGCTACAACTGTAGTTATAAATATAGAATTTAAATGTATTTAAAAAACTCTGTCTTAATAATCATAAATAAACCAGCAACAAAAACATTTAATACATACCCCATTTTGTCCTTCAAACTTTATGGTGGGCTTTCGCTGAGTAGCAACCTTAACAAATAAATTCTAATATTTTAACAAAGATTTGAAAAAAAAAGTACTTAGATGCGATCAAATTCCTCCAAGTCAATAGAAAAGCAATTATTTATTTTATTCACTTGACTTTAATTTTTGAAAGTTGTTATATGTTTTAATTATCATTGTTGTTTAATTTAAACTATACTTATTTTTTATCTATTTTTTAAGTTTCACAGAACAATAATCAATGCTTATATAAGTTGACAGATATAGCCATATTTGCAGTGTAGTAACATATATCAACTGACTTAAATAACTTAAATGGGGGAAGTGGAGTGTTCATATATTCTTTTTTGCACACCTATACTTCTATATAAAATTGAATAAATTAAATGAGACTAAATGGACAAATAACCTCGGAAGATGTATTTAATTTTTGATAAATATATAATTTAAATAACTTCTTTAGTAATAAGTAAGTGTCGCAGTGCAAGTTATATTAAGATGATAATATTTAATGCTAATGTGTATTAACTATTATTCTTGTTTAACAATTATTATATAATCATTTTTATTTAACAATAATAATTTTTTCAGGAAAAGGAAATAATAATTTTTTCTGGAAAAGCCGTAAACACAGCGGAGTCTATATTAATACTATACTAAAACTTAAGTTAATTTAAGTAGTCAATTCCAATTTATGTCAAATTGGAATATCCGCAGTCGAATGTACATTAACCGATGGTTGTAGTTTTAAGCTAGGCTATGGTTGTAGTTTTAAGCTAGCCTAAATTTTTTAATCAATAGAAAAGATTTTCTAGAAATGAAAAAAAATTTGTCAATAAATTTAATATACCCCTCCCCTGTAACAAATCATCACATAGTCGCTAATCCTTCCCCTCCTCATCACATAATGTAATTAGTGGACAACCCAATTTAAAAAATGTGAGTTAGATATTCCTTTTTTCTCTATGTATTTAAAATCGGATTTTTGTTAAAAAAACACTAATACTTGCAACATCTGTCATAAACTATATTGTTTATATATTCTTTTTATATGTTCGTTTACAGTCAGCTAATTTATTCAGCCAATGCTTTGTTTAATATTTTATTAAAATAATTTTGATTGAAATATTGTATTATGGTTTTGTATGCTCTTATAATTTATTGCTTTTATATTTTGTATTTATGGTATTGTGTGCTCTTCTAAATTTTTTTTATTTACTCATTTTCATTGTACAAACTGACATTACAGATTCAGCCCTCGGAAATAGAAAAAAAAGGTCTGCAAATTTTTGCTGACTTTTTTGAACAATGGTTTTATTATGACAACATAGAAACAAGATCAGCAAAACATTGCTGAACACAAACACATATAGGTCAGCATTGCAGACTAAAAAACTAAAAAATTTCTAGTCATTATTGTTCCAGTTTTTTAAAAAACGATAAATGTATGTGTGTATGTGTGTACGTGTGTGTGTGTGTGTGTGTGTGTGTGTGTGTGTGTGTGTGTGTGTGTGTGTGTGTGTGTGTGTGTGTGTGTCATTAAAACCAAACATTGAAACTAACTGTAAAAAAACTATAAATATAAATAAAAAATATATTTTGTAGAAAATAAAAGTAACCCAAAGAACACCTTTTCTACCTTTCTCTAAACCTTCAGAAAAATATCTTAAAACTTATTTATCAGTAAAATAAATTTTAAAGGTATTTTTAATTTAACAACATTCCTTACCTAAGTTTACATAAAAAAGTTTGGATGTTAAATGTCTTTATATCTTAAATTTCACACAAAATCTATTTAGCTAATTAGTTAGGCATGCCTGGTCAGGTTAGGGTCCACTATTTTCAAAAACTGTTAATGCAAAATGTTGTATTTTAAAATTGAAATAGAAAATATTTAGGCTACATAAGATAAGATCTAACCTACTTTCTTAAAACTAATATTTTTTAGTTGAAAAACACAAGTCAAAAAAAATATTGACACCGTTCAAATTAAAATAGTCAATTATTTTTTACTTCTTTATTTGTAACAGTTGGTAGTAGTTAATAAGTACTCAAATGACAAATGTAACAGTTAACTATTTAAAAAAAAACAAAAAGATAACTTGATCACAAAAACTGGATGCCTTAAATACCAGAGAATAAAAGAAGGCAATCACCTTATTAGTGACATATTCTTCTAGTGCTTTTAAGCATGAGTCAGTGAGTTTTACAAAATAAACACGTTTTTTTTCATCCTCTTTTTTTGTTAAGCTATACGTACAATCTTCTGTCAAAGTATAAGCCATGTTTTGACCTCAGACATCATTGAACACAACACACAAGCTTGTCAAACTTGTGTTTTGATAGCACTATTTAACACACTGATTTCATTATATAAGAGCCGTGTGAACCAGACTACTCCAGATCTTTTTCACTCAGTCTGCCGTTGAGTATCGCTGTGTTGATTTCGGCTATTAGGATTCTTCCTGTTGTGTCCTGGGTCTGAGTTTGTACTCCTTCTTTGTTTATTTGCAAAATACATTTAAAATACCTATCTACTTAATTTTATAGCTTTTAATTGTAAGTCTCTAAACAAAAAATAAACAAATGTTTATTGAAAGACAAAAAAAAACAGGAAAAAAAGTAAAAAAAAAAATTTTTTTAAACAAAAATATGTTAAAAGGAAAAAAATGTTAAAGTTGTACTTAAGCATTATGGAGAAGCGCGTGAAAAGTTTACCAAAAAAAATGGTACCTTCAGTATAAATCTTATTGAACATTACTAAAAACTAAAACTTCAGACAACCTGTACTAATATTTTATTAAGAAAATGCAAATGTTGTTTTATTACATTTTAAAACACATTATATTAGTTTTTATAAAGCAAACATAAATTTTGCTTTAAAAAAAAAAAAAAAAGATATCGATATCGTACTCTACGTTCCCTCTAATAATTTTCAACTTTCTCTGACTCTCCTTCGTAAAAATAATTGAATTTATTGTTTATAAACAATTACGTATGTTCGTTACTGAATTATCAGACAGTATTGACGATATTGACTTAAAACAAAAGTTCGTTTAAATATAAAAATTAATAAACTTAAAGAAACAAATACGATTTTATTTATACTATAAACTTAGGCCTCATCAGTAAATATTGCCGACGTGCGCATAGTATTTTTTTTTCAACTTACCTACTAGCATATAACTACTTTCTTAAATTTTAATTGTTAATTTTAATGACCAATATAACTAATAAGAAAGATTTAAATAACGGTGTTCGTATATTTTTTATGTCATATCACTTATCACTGTCATCTCAATGGGCAACGCAAATGGTTACGAGGTAAGTGGCTGTAACCCCTCTACTCTTTTTCTATTTTTAGAAAAGAAAAAAAAGGCGAGATAGAATAGTTAAAAAAATGCAAAATTAAAATTTTAACTTTTTAAAATATTGGTTTATAAATACTCCTAGTATAACTTTCACCTAATTGAATATTGCCTTACGGCACAAAGAAAAAAAAGTTATTTTTGTTTTGTCCTTGGCTTGAAAATGTGTTTTTCTAACCGGTTTTTCTGTTACAGATTCTGTTCGAGAAAGTTCTTGAATCGCATTGAGTACTGAGCATTCTGAACTGCTAGTCCAGTAGGTCCGAAAATTTTTTAGAATATTCTATAACTTTGGACCGAAAAAATTTTATACCTTACTTGAGCGTTCTCGAACTGTCCAAAAGTAGTACATACAGATATATGACAGTGTATTATATATCAATAATATACCGTAATATTATATATTAATACTATACCATTTCTATAATATTGTATTCTAATTTTATAGAAAGTATGATATACATCAATAATATACTCAGTATAAAATTATGTATGAATTACCATGACTTCAAATTTATATAAATATATAGATTGCAAAATTACAGGTTTGTATAAAAGAAAAGAGAGCCATTTTGCAATCTTATTTGCAATCCAACGAATTGTTTGCAATCCAATGAGTTTAATGACAACCAACAAACTACTTAAGCGATTGTAACTTCCTGGATTGACAATCATAAAAACGTCACTCTATAGAAAGAAAAAAAACCTCTAGATCATTAAAGACTTCAAAATGATATCCTTATTCATGCGGTTTTGCAAAATTTACTAGCTTCATTTGCATCTGCGACAGCCGTGATACTAAGGTGCCCTATTGCAGTAAGGACTTGCCATTACAAGCCTAGCCCATTATGGGTAAGAGTATAATAAAGTGGTAACCGCTGAGAGAACCTCAAAAAAGGTTTATGCCGCCTTTACGCATTAGGCTAAACATCATTAAGCAATATGTTGCTACTTTTGGCAAGAAGTCAGTACCTTTTAAGTACTTTTATAATAAAGTTTGAGACTAAGGTTAAAGATAGTATATTAGTTAGACCAAAAATCAAAAAGATATCGTGAAATATTGTAAAAAAGAGTTAGCAAAGCTCCTTAAGAGAACGCAGAGTAGCTTGCCACAGTCTTTTTGCAGTCGTTAACAGTTTTCTGGGTCTGAAAACTATGTAAAGTTGGTTCAGATTATCATAAAGATGTCATATTTTCATTTTTTTATTTAATCTCGATATATTTCAAAAAAATAAAGGAGTTTGCGTAGAGAAGCGTCTTAAGAAATTTTATCAAAAAATATTGGAAAACTTGATGTGAGGCTGCAGGCGGGGTGGAGGGCGCTACTTGTGAATGTGGATAACAATACATTTATATATCCAGAAAATCTGTGTCAATTCAATATGTAATTTTTTTTCCTTTTTTTACCAAACCGAATGAACAATCAAGACTGATCAAGCTAGATCAAGGGTGGATCAACGGGTGGAGATCATACCCTCCCCCTCAGATATTTCGGAAAAATTTTTTGTTGCAAAATTATATATTTAACACAGTAAGTTGTTTGAAAACAGAAGTAAATTAGGCAGGCTGTTTAAAAGTGTGTAAATATTCCGTAAACTTGTGATGTGGTCATACACTGCGAACTATATGATATTGGTCATACACTGCAAACATCGTCGATATGTCGATTTTATACGGTAAATCCTGACAAAGTAAGAAATTAAAATTTTTAATGGGATTGTTTTGATTTCAATGTATGGCATAATTTCAGAGTCACACATTGATTTCAATGTATGGCATAATTTCAGAGTCACACATTGATTTCAATGTATGGCATAATTTCAGAGTCAAACATTAAACGGTAAAAGATTAATATTCTAAAGAATATTGAAAATAAGAATAAAAAAATCGTATTATTTATGGATTTGCTTGCTCACAAATCATTAAACCTAAAAATTCCCTCTACTTACTAGATGATATGTATCCATTAAAAAACCTTAAAATTGTCTCCTCCTCTTACTAGATGGTATGGATCCGCCTCTGAGTTAGTTTACATATATTTAATAATCATTGTGTTTGTTATTGTTAAATGCACAATGAACAACAAATACACACAAAAAAAAAATTAAGCTAATTAATAAGAAATAAGTCAAAAGTGATTTTAAATATCTTAAAAAGATGCATTCATAGAATTAGAATTTGTAAGATAGTTGTGATGTAGTATATAAAGCTGAGTAAAATTAAAATTCTCTACGGATTGTTCAGAAAGTCATTACAAAGAATAAAGTTTCTTTCAAAAACTAAATTAAAAAAATCCAGTTCTGAAGTTGCTTTTAGTCAAGACTGCTGTAATTGAACGTTTGTTATTTATAAAAACAGACTTCAAACAACCGTTACAGTTGAATGCTTGAACTCTTTAGCATTTACATGCAATTCAAAGTTAAAAACCGATTCTATCAATCAAACATATCAAATTACTTTATTTGATAAAAAAGATTATATTCGAAAATTAAAAAAATGTGGATCTGATGCTTGGTGCTTAAATTTAAAAAACATAAAAACACTTACTATAAAAAGTTAAAAGGTATTGAGCTGGAAGTTGCTTGTTTTTCAAATGGTAGTTATAAAAATATTATATGCAAATAATTTTTTTTTTTTTTTTTGGTATATCGATTTTCGTGAGCAACGAAAATTGAAATTGTTTTCCGTTTATTTGATATAAATAAACGGAAAACAGTTTCATTTAATGTTATAATCAAACAAAATTTAAATTTCACATTCTTAATCTTTAAATAATCAGTGATGCGTTTATATGCAGAATTCAGTTGTTTTCACTAATTTAAATTGATTTTTTTTAGTATAAGCCGATTTTACAAAACTATTCAAAAACTTTACTAATTTCTGCTACTAACTAGGTAAAACTAATTTCTTTGTTTTTAAGTATAAAAGATTTTTAAGCTAATTAAATTTTTTTAGTTAGTTAAATTACACGGAACATGTGTGTTCCGTAAACTCATCAACAGCTAACCGGGCTAGCTCGTGCACATTTGCACGAAAGATAATGCGCTGTGTTAGTTATGGTGATAGCAAATATAATTTTCTTTTGAAGCAATAGACATTGATAGCATTTACAACTTTGTTTAGTAATGCGTTCCATGAGTGAGCAACGTGATTGTTGAAAAAGTTGAAACAAACAAGGGTATTGTTGCCCATTTTACAATGAAAGCGCTTGCAATAACCATAGCTTAGTGGGATGTTAAGAAGAACAATATGCCAGCAAAATGAGCTGATTTTATTTTAAACTCTAATTTTTTGGATGAAGTTGCTGTAAACTCCAATTAAGTAGATAAGCGAGTTTGCTGAATTTCAATTCTCGTGCTTTAAGTTGTTGGTAATTTGAACCACAAGATCTTGATTAAACCACAAGATTGAGTAAACTTATAGTGAAACGTTGGGTTTGTTGATGTGCATAATTTTGCATTCCTTGACGTTAAGCTCAACCAGGTCCGAGTCCAGGTAAAGCTGCTATCCATACCAGTTTGCAGATGAGCTTTAACATCATCGGTTTTGACGACGCTCAGAAGTTTAGTGTTGTCTGCGTACATTATTCAGGTAATTTTACTATTGACGCGTTCGGTAAGTTGTTGATGAAAATTTTGAATACCGTAGGACCTAACACCGATTTTTGAGAAACGCCTCAGTATCTTGTTCCCAGTGGAATGAGGTATTATCGAAAATAACACGTTGTGATCTATTTGAAAGAAAAGCTTAAAACCAGTTTAAAATTTTACGTTTGATTCCATAGGACTTTAGGAGGTACAAACCTCAAAAAAACTATTTCATAAAATATTTATTTACAAATATGTCTTTTAGGTTTACAATGACAAAAATAAAATTACAAAAAAAAAAATTGATAAAAGTAATTATTTTTAAAAATAATTAGGGAAACCCAGAGGTTCGAACTTCGACGCCAGCTCTAGCCCAACAAGCGACATTGGTACGGAAGGAGGCGTGAACTTCCTGTTAAATGCTCACCCGCGGTGCTCTATGATAAGACCGTAAGGACATCTGGGAGCACTTAAATACATACAAATAAAAAAAAACAAACTATAAAACTATAAACATTTTCAAATGCTAAATTAGACTTTAGATAAATAGAAATTGATAAATGATAAAAATATATGATAGAAATTTAGATGCTGTTTTATTTAAATATTATCTTATTTTCAGAATCAGCAACGTCAAGTTGACCAGAAAGGTTAATAATTTAAATTTTGGAAAATTTGAATTTTTTTTGGTATGTACAACATACCAAAAAAAGTTTTTGCAATAAGCCTTCTGCAAGGGAGTTTCCATGTAAACTAAAATAGAATTTCTGACAGTAATTTACCATAATGGTTAGTTATTATCTGTAACGACTCAACTTATAGGTTGAATCGTTTAAATTTACTTTATAAAGTTAACGAAAGTTTCAAGAAATTTAGAAAAAATATTAAAAAATATATTTTTAGTAATAAGCAAAAACTAAAAAAATAATAAAAATTATGTCTAAATCTTTTAACCATTAAACCTTTATAGCTTTTTCTTAATATAAAATATTTGATATTAAAAACGCATAAATGTTAGCCTTTCTTACAGATCAATAATTTTTTTGTTTCGTTTTTTTTCCGTTTTTTGGCACTTTAAAGATGACAGAAACATCTGGTTCTGAAAAAATATACATTATGCTTTGTTCAATTTCCTTTCCCGTTTTTCTGGAGTATTTTTTTGATGGTTTCCCCTAACAGTACAACACGTTGGGGCAACGTTGACCCAACGCTTCAGATCTTGTGCTGACGCTATCCTATAGTATTGCTCGGGTTTTGCTTGGCCAAATGAAATATTTTATTTGCATAGGACGTTTTTCACCCAACAAGAGTTGTGCGTTTGATTCGGAGTGTTATTAACATTAGGTTTACTTGTAAATTTTTGAAACTCTTTTAATCCCTTAGAATACCTAATGTTAATGAAAACTACTTTGTGTGTGTGTGTGTGTGTGTGTTGTCTGGTCTCAGTTATCACAAACAGCAAGGCATTAGCTTATCATTTCAACTCTTTTTATAACCTGAATTCTTATTACTTTGTTAAACTCAATGGAAAGCTAGTCAAAAATATCTCCTCAGTTTTATACGGCTGCTATTTATTAACGCAAGTCTTGTTTTTGCGTCAAACTACTATCAGAACTCTAAGAGAGAGATTTCAATAGAAAGTTAAATTTTATAGGAAAAATGCAGAGCTATATGTTTAAGAAGTATCTATTGAACTATTTCTTGAATTACATTACTGTTATATGTTTTATTAACAATTTATCCTTATTTTTTAAAAAATCAAAGCTAAAAATGTAGGGAAAAAAAATCAGTAATTCCGATTATTCATTTATTTTCTAAACATTTATGGCTTTTTTTTGTTTGTTTAAATTTGTTTAATGTAGCAGTTTCTTTTAAAAATTAGCTTTTAGAAAATTAAAATCATCTCTTCCGCTTTCATATAATGCAACCTTTATACAGGCTCAGAATAGACAGAAATATGCACAATCTGGCTGGCTGGTTTGGAAAGAGAGGTATGCGCGCGTTTGTCAAAATCAAAACAAATGTTAAAAGCGCATTAAATAATAAAAGTGTAATTAAATAATTGCATAAAAAATCAAGTAATAATAATTAATAATAATAAAATAAAAATTATGATTTTTCTATCAAATTTAGTACATTATTGTACTCATATTTTTACAAAACTTAACAACTTAAAACAATCCGTGATTTTCAAAATAATATCTGAAAAATGAAAATTTATAAAAAGTAGTTTGTTTTCTTAACGATTTTTATAACTCCATGTCATAAAAAAGACAACAATTGTAACAATTAAACAGATGGTGAAACTTGCTGTGGTTATACGTAGCAAACTATAAAACAGATGGTGAAACTTGCTGTGACTATACAATAGATTTTTTAAAATAGTTTTATATTTTACCTTGTAATACCAATATAATATTAATAACTTGGTATAATTTTTATATATTAAGTTCCAATTATTTCTATCATTTAGTTAGAAAAACAAAATAATTAACTACAAAACTACTATTGCAAACAATTTATGTTGTTAATTTCAATTTCAAAAGTCAATACATATAAAACACATGTTTGTTGGTATATAGCTGTATTTTATATTATATTATATTGCATTGTATACTATAATTGGTGAAAAATGTTTATCTTCAAATAGCATCTGATGAAAATTAATATTAAATAAGGCAACAAACTTAAGCAATTATACATTTTTTATGCTATCTTATAAGTTTATTTTACATTAAATACTTTCGAAAAAAAAAAAAAATCTGTCTGCTCTAGGGACAAAAAAAAAAAGAAATTAAATGTATTTGTATCATAATGTAAACTTTGGTAGAACCAATAAAGTAAAGTGTGCTTTTTTTTAATTTCTGTGGATACCTCTTGTATAATAATGATGTTTTATTTTGAAGTAATACTGATAAATTTTTATTGAAAACTTTAAATTTAAAATCTTTTTTCGATGAAGTTCTTTTATAACAATGCCATAATCCTTCATTTGATGAAATTTTTTCCAAAGATTTGTTTTGAAATAGTAAATTAAATACATAATGAAATAACTCTTAACATACTACATACTAATAGAGAACTAAGGGTAAAGAGGTAGAAAAAAGAAATGTTGTGAGGATGCAAATTCATGTTGAATATACTATTCCAAGAGTTTACACATATATACAAACTAATATTTGTATACAAAACTTATTATTGTTAGATATAGAGATAGAGATATAACAGATGTAGCTCTTAAATTGAATAAAATACAAATTATTGTATTTTATAATTATTAAGATTTATTAAGAATTGAAAAATAAAAAAAAAGGGTTTGATTAATAAGGTTTGATACATGGTTATAATAGAATTTAATAACTTTATAATAAATTATAAAGTTTAAAAAAGATATTGGGGGGGGAGCCCTACCTCACCTACCTACACCAGTTTATAATTTTATAATTTTTTCAAAAAAAAATTTAGAGGTGCTTTTGTAAATTTAAGGAGAATTTATTTTTTTATTTAGTTTTAGTATCAACACATTCACCCCCCCCTCACACACACATAATCCCTCCCCACACAGATACCAAAACATTTTGGATCCATTGCTAATTTATAGATCTTTTCTAATTAACTTTAACTTTACTTTTTTTTTCCATTTCTTTAAATTAACAACAGATCGAATCCCCACCGCCAAGATAAACTTTATTAAATTTTGATTTTAACTAGTGAAAATTTTCTTGTACAAATAGATTCTGATAAAATAAAACCAAGTTCCTGTGTTTATAATAGGGCAAGAATTGTATTGATAAACTTAGTTTTTAATCATTACTTTGATTTTTATATCATTGATATTTTCATTGATATTTACTTCATTTATTATTATTTCATTGATACTTTAATTGATATTTACTTCATTTATTATTATTACTTTGATACTTATTTCAAAAATCTGCTTATTTTGGGATTTTTAATTATATTTTTCAACAATTGCGCACATGCTTCTCTTTTAAAATCAGCGAATCAGATTACTAATATTTCTGCTTATTCAGAGCTTGTATAAGATTTCAAAACATTTCTCCCGCTAGACATAACTATCAATAGAACTGACATTTATTACCAGAATCAAATCTCGAAGAAGTTTAATAGTTACTTTGCTATTGTTGGCCGAAACCTAGTAAATAAGATTTTAACACCAAATAGTTAATTTAAAACCTATTTAGATTTCTCCAATAATTTCCTATGTTACAGCGACGTTAAAAGAAATTAAAGATTCCAAGGCAAATTCCCAGGTTTTGATGAAATATCAAGCAATTATTTCAAACAAAAAAAGGATTTTTGAACCTTTACATTAATATAATAAAACTCTTAGTAAATATAATATATATATATATATATATATATATATATATATATATATATATATATATATATATATATATATATATATATATATATATATATATATATATATATATATATATATATATATATATATATATATATATATTAAAAAATAAATAAAAAAATTAAAGAGCTTTTAATAAAATCAAGAAACTTTAATATTTATAGTATTTTTTAGCTTTTTAAAGTTTTAATTTAATATTTTATTTTTTTTAGGTACGATTGAGCTAACAATTTAAACATGCGACATTGTTCAACGAAGTCATATATAAAACTTTGGTGGAATTAAAGTTTTCATAAGATTTAAAATGAACGAAATTAATTACAATAATTTTTTATTCTAAATGTTTTCATATCTTACAACATAAATATTTTACTAGTTTTAATGTACAAAACGTTTTGAAGGAAAATAAATAATTACGGTTTGTCTTTTTTCATTCTATTCCATAATTTAAAATTTTTCTCCATTACGTCCACCTATGGTTGCTGAGGCGTAAGGTTTCGGGAAGGTTATAACTTCTTCAGATACTTTTTTTGAATAATAGAAGCTTCTTTTCTTAATAAAAGAACATTTTTAAAGAACTATTTTTAAATATTTACGTTTCTTTGGGTGGTTTGGTATGGAAATATAATGTGATTATTGAGCCTGTTGAGGCAAGTTAATAATATTTAGTCTAGTTCACAATTATTAAAATTATACAAATTTTTAAAAGTAACAGTTAAAAAATTAACTTATATTTATTACAATAAAATATAAAATCATGTATTTCATGTATTAGAATTATCCAATATCATACTGAACTGAAATGATAAAGAATAATGTACTGTAAAAGATGGAAAAGACAAAGTACATATATATATATATATATATATATATATATATATATATATATATATATATATATATATATATATATATATATATATATATATATATATATATATATATATATATATATATATATATATATATATATATATATATATATATATATATATATATATATATATATATATTCCATCAAATGTTAACACAACATTTTTGTAAAAATAAAAATTTTGAAAAAAAATACTATTGAGCAAGTATTATTTTTCCACACTAAGAATATTCTGCTTTTGTTAGGTCTTCCTATTTTCTTAATGACACAAATGCTAAAGTGCAGGATTGTTCGAAGAAGATTTCAGTAACAAATAATAATCATCCTATGACAGATTTATAGCGTTGAATTCAACAAGTTTGAAAAAAAGACGAGAGCGTGGTGGCTTAGTTTAAAAGATTGTATTAGGTAACAAAATTGACTATATTAATTGTTATAATAAAGATTGATTAAATTTTTATTCAACGAGTCCAGTACCAACGTGTAGCCATAATAAATATAACAAAAAAACCTGCACAGAGGTCTTATTTATAATATATATATATATATATATATATATATATATATATATATATATATATATATATATATATATATATATATATTTAAATTTGTTATTTAGGTACCCCAAGAAGTTCTAACGGTCTTGTCACAGAACACCGCGAAAGTGCATTTAACCAGGAAGTTCACACCTCCTTCCTTACCATGACGCGAAATATGTCCAAAGCTCGATTTGAACCTGGATCTCCTGCTTATAAAGCATACAATCTAACCACTGCGCCACGGCTGCACAACATTTGGCATAACTTTTTTGTGAATCAAGAAGCTCGTTTTGATCAGTTTAGAAAATTAAAAGGTTTAAATAGAGATAAGCGCTATAAAAAGAATGAGCTAAAACAAAGTGAAGTTACATTATATTTTTAAACATATTAGTTGAAGTTGAGAGTTTATGTTCACTTATTTTAGTTTAAAAGACATCTTTGTCAGACACTTGTCTCAGAAACCCTTAGCTATTCAAAGGCGTCTAAATTTTATTACGCATAATACAGGTCTTTAAACGTCTTTAAAAAACGCTGAGAAGAGAAATGTTTTTTTTTTTTAATATTGTTATTCTGTAGAAGTTACTGATATACCTGTTATTTCAATGAAGTTTTCATTCTATTTATAAAATATTTTATTTTTTCTTCAAACCAAATATTTGTTTAACTTTCTACGGGTAATACTAATATGAAAACAATTTTTATTGTTTTTTGATTTATACTCGGGTAAAATATTTGTTTTCTTATTTTAATTTATAGTTAAAATATATACTTTTTCATTATTTTTTATTTGTGGTTTATTTTCAAGAGAAGGCAGAGACACCAACAAAAAGCTTTGAAGTTAATGATAGTGAAGGTATGAATTAAAAACTTACTTATTCATTTGTAATTGTTAGCGTTTTATTTTATTTATAATTTATTTTTTAGAGGAGGCAGATAATTATAAAAATCTTTGCAGCTAAAGACAGTGAAGGTATATAATAATAAATCACTTTTACATTTTGTTAGCGTTACCTTTTTATTGTAATGTATTGTTTTTTAGAAGTGGCAGATACAAAAAATAGTTTTGTAGTAAAAGATGGTAAAAGTATAACTTAAAAAGTTACTTTTTCATTTATAAATGTTTGCATTTTTTTTTAAAGTATCGCTTGTTTTTTAGAGAAGGCAGTTAAGCCATTAAAAACCATTGTTGTTGAAGATAGTGAAGGTATATATTAAAACTTACCTATTCATATATAAGCGTTTTAAATAAAACTTACCTATTCATATGTTAGCGTTTTATTTTAATTTGTTTTTATTTATTTTAATATTCTAGAGATAGTAAATACGAAAAAAAGCTACATAGTTGATGATACAGAAGGTATGTATTATTCAGTGGCGCACGAATAAAATAAAGATTTTTATGTAAACTTATTTAAATAATTAATTTAAACATCCCACCTGGTGAAAAAATATGTGAAGAGTTTTAAAACATGTAATCTTCAATAAATGTAATAGTCGTTATTTTATTAGATAAAAGGCTTATGCTTAAATTTTGATGAAATTATGCTTAAATTGCATTTCATAAATAGGTCACGGAATAATAAAATGTATCCATATTAAAAACCCTGTAAAAGTCTTAGGAGGCTGCAAGGTATACAATTATTCGTTACAAGACACTTTAAACGAATGTCTCAGTGACAAAAATGTTAATATTTATCTCAAAATATTAGTAAAAAGTAAAGAAAAAGTATGATTAATTAATGTACTTTACAATAAAATTTTCGTACAAAAAAACCCTTATTGAATTTTTTTTTTAAATTTGCCTTCATTTAAATAAAATTTTAATTCTAAATATAAAACAATATATTGAATGCCATTCCATTTATTGATGCTTTGAAGAATCGAATCGAAGTACTGTAGCCAGCTGGGCTACTCTCACTGGATGAATTGCCAATTAAAACTGATTTAATACGAAGACGGCATAAGGTATTCAAAAACTTTTATCTAAAAAAATTAATGATTCATTAATTTAATTATAGAGTATTTATACATAAACACACACAGATATATATATATATATATATATATATATATATATATATATATATATATATATATATATATATATATATATATATATATATTCATAGAAAAAGCTCTTTAAACAAGATATGCTAATATGCTGTATGGTGGAAAAATTTCATTGGACGCTTGCAGTATGTAAAATAGTATAATTGTTTTTTGAAAAAGTTTATTTCTCTAAGTACAAAAAGTTTAACTTTAGTGAAAGGTTAGATTCCCCATTTTTTTACAGGGAACCTAACTTTGAACCTGATTTTGAAAATCACTTGTGTTTTAGATAATCAAACCAGGTAATAAAACAATTCACTCTATGGACACTATGGGAGAACAGACAAATTCCATCAAAAAAGAAGAAGTGAAATGGAAGTATGATATTATTATTATTAGATATTCCTATGTCAAAATTTGTATTTACATCTTTTATAATTTTTTTACTATTATACAATAGTTGTTACTTACAACAAAGATACGGTGTTTCAGAAAAGTTTGAAATATTAACATTACCATATGCCATACAAGCTGAAGGTATAACATTTGGAGTATTCTGCCTTAAGGTAACTTTAAGAGTCTTAACTGTAATGGATATATATATATATATATATATATATATATATATATATATATATATATATATATATATATATACATATATATATATATATATATATATATATATATATATATATATATATATATATATATATATATATATATATAAGCTTACATATTTTAGTTTGCTGAAAGTTATACAAATAGAGAAGTATTAGTGTGTGTCTTTCCACATGAAGAAGTTAATGCATACAGAAAGAGAGATAAAGGAGGTTTGTGAGATTCTTTAGAGAACTGAAAATGTTTATACTACTTCAATGTTAAATGATATCTATAAAAAAGACAAATGAAATACAAATATATACAAATGTATTAAATATATATATTAAATAATAAATGAAACTTTGAAAATTGTAGTCATTTCTTTTTCTTCAAAATTTTGTCATATATTGAACCAATTTAAATGTTTATGCCCTTATAGATAAAAAAGGGTGAAATTTTTTTTTCCCTTGTTTTAGTGACTTCTTGTATTGTTATAATACTTGTCGGGAGCCATACATATGAATTGATTGAACAATAATACATTTTTAATTTGTTAGCTCAATTAAATCTTAAAAAAAATGAAAAAAGACTGTTTGGGTAATCTCTGCACATTTTGCAAATAAAAGCTAAAATTCTAAATTAAAATACCAAATCTCCCTATGCAGGCTTATTAAATATTCCCCAATATTACATCCCTATGTATATTATTAAAATATTACATCCCCTAAGTAATTTATAAAATTTTTCAAATGAGTAGTAATTGCTATCTTGAATATCACATCCATCACTTGTAAATTATGTTTGTACCATAAAAAGAAACTAAAATTCTTACTTAAAATATCACAACCCCCCCCCCCCCCTATGTATACTACTAAAATAATAGATCCCCCTAAGTATTTTTCTACAATATTTCAAGCAATTTATATTTGGTACTTAAAATATCACATCTCCCCTGTAGAGTCTCTGCATATGTCACAAAAAGACACTGGAATTCTTACTTAAAACATCGCATCCCCTCTATGTTTACCTTTAAAATATTAAATCCCCCTAAGTAAGTTACAAAATATTTTAAACGATTAGTACTTGGTACCTACAATATTACATTCATCGCTTGTAAGTTCTGTATGTACCACAAAATGAAACTTAAATTCTTACTGAAAAAATTACATCCCCTTTAAGTTTACCTATAAAATATTACATCCCCCTAAGTAATTCATACAATAGTTCGAACAATTAATACTTGCTATTTAAAATATCACATCCCCTCTATGTTTACCTTTAAAATATTACATCTCCCTAAGTAATTCATACAATATTTCAAACGATTAGTAATTAGTATCTAGAATATCACATCTCCTCGGTTTATTCACTGTATAAGTCACAAAAAGAAACTGAAGTTCTTACTTAAAATATCACATCCCCTCTATGTTTACCTTTAAAATATTACATCCCCCTTAGTAATTCATACAATATTTCAAATGATTGCTATATGGTACCTAGAACATCACATCCATCACTTGTAAGTTTTGTATGCACCACAAAAAAAAACTGAAATTCTTACTTAAAATATCACATCCCCCTATGTATACTTTTAAAATATTACATTCCCCTAAGTAATTCATACAATATTTCAAACAATTAGTATTTGATATCTAGAATATCACATCCCCTCGGTTTATTCACTGTATATGTCAGAAAAAGAAACTGAAATTCTTACTTTAAAATATAACATCCCACGGATGTCTACTTCTCAAATATTACATCCCCCTAAGTAATTTATAAAGTATTTTAAACAATTAGTATCTGGTATATAGAATATAACATCCACCACTTGTTATTTCTGTATATGTCACAAAAAGAAACTGGAATTCTTACTTAAAATATCACATCCCCCCTATGCAGGCTTCTAAAATATTGCAAACGATTATTACTTTTATTACCTAAAGTATTATATCCCTCAGGTGTAATCTTTTTTTTACTATTGTCACACAATACATTACGATCAAAATTTTATAAATAAGAATTTAAAATATATTACCATTTTATGCTAACTTCATTTATAGTATATTAGTAGAAAAACGTTTTTGAGAATCTCGTTGCGTTTTAATTATATTGTTTATAATTGAATGTTTCGGACGTATTTGATACATTTTTAAATGCAATGACTTGAAAGCGCAATCTCGTTTTCGTTTTTTCTATGGGGGATGTGATATTTTAGGCGGATGTAATATTTTATAAGGACAGGCAAAAAAAAATCTTTTTTATAAGTTTTTTACGGTCTTACAGAGAACATGTTGGAAAGGAAAGTAGTAAAAGTAATTAAAAGTCATTAAAGTGTTTGAAAAAAATATAAACATAAAAGAAGTTACTATTGAACCAGCGCACAGGAAAAGTAGTATATAAATAATCTGAGACCAAATAGTCACTAAGTTATTGTTTTCGGTTTTTTAATTTAAATTATAAGGATAAAGTTTAAATATTAAAAATCGCGCATAAACTTAAAGAAACAGATATTTTTATGAACGAGGATTACTCCTTCGAAACAACTGTGATACGAGCAAAGTTATTTAAAGAAACGAAAGTTAAAAATGTTGAAATCAAAAACAATACAAATATCCAACTTAAAAATTATAAAGTAGTTCATAAATTTAAAAATTCGGAAAAGACAGACAGTGAAGTATGCCTCTTTATCCGGAACTCATTAATATACAAACCGCGAAATGAATAGTCTTTAGAAAGTAATGACTGTGAGTCATTAACAATTAAAATCTTACAGACCACCTTCTCGCAAAATTAAAAACTTTGAACACCACATTAAAAATTTAATTGCAAATAAAGATGTTTGTGGTAAGTGCGATTATCTTAAGGTCGATCTAAATTGAAATGTGTTTCAATGTGACTTAAATAGAAACGTCAAATGTTTTTTTAACTTTATTATTTAAAAAAAAATTTATTTTAACCTTAAATAAAACAACAAGAATCATAAAAAAAAGTACAACCTCAATAGATTTAATTATAACAAATAATTTTAAAAACACGAAAATTAAGACTGGAATAATTTTAATTCAAAATTGTGTTAAACATGTTTCTCTCAAAATGAAATTAAGGCAGAAAAAAGTTTTCAACATAAGTTTTTATTTCAGAATTGCTCATGCTCGTGTTAATTTATTTTTGCGTTTGGCCTAAACAATAGTTTTTAGGTTTTAGTTTTTTTTTTTCTAGAAATTCAAAACTATCGCCAAAAAGTTTACCGCACTGGGTGACACCAATCCCAGCGACATATATGAGCCCATGTGGATAACAACAGGAATCATCAAAAATTATTAAAATCATCAAAAAAAACAACAAAAAAACAACGAAAGACTTCTTAAAATAAGAACATATGAGAATGAATCCGAATACTAAAAAATAAAGTTATTTTTGAACAAATTATAAATCGTTTTAAAAAAAGTATAATATACTAAACAATTAAATACTAATTTGACACTCAGAAAACCTGGAATGTCATTTAAGACTTTTTTAACCAGACCTTAAAAAGACGTCTTTTGAACGTTCAAATAACGCTTTTTAAGGTCTGGTGCCCACTGGGTTAGTGCGGAATCAAGTTTAGCCCTAACACTAAAACCTTGTAAAACTAGCGTTAAAATCTAGCCTCGCGAATAATTGAACTAAAAATAAGGTAGTACATTAAAAAAAAAATACTCTTGTATATTAAAAAAAAAGAAAAAAAGTTTAATATACCATTCGATGCAAATTATCATTCTTTCAGAATATATGTAAATTTTGTATAAAATATTTACTAATATTGCCTTATTTAAACTTTTTTAGTTGTTTAGTTTCAATTTTTTTGCAAATAATTTCAATTTATCGAAAAACTAATTGTTTTCATAACTCTTTAATTTTATTCGTTCTTTGCAACTTCAAAACTTTTGATTTCTCGAGTTTAAAAAAGTTTTTGAATCAAATTTTCAAAGTATTTTGCTTAATCATTAAGATTTCAGATGCACTAAAATGATGAACAAATAATATTTTTATAACACAACACATTAGTTTTTTTTTCATATATAAATTTATGATTTTTTTTTTTAATGTTGTGTCCCGTTTTTGATATTTTTAGTCATTTTTTCATGCTTTTAGTAGAAATGAATTAAAATTATTAGGGTTGCAAATTTTTCGGAAATTTTCAACTCGGGAAATTTTCCATAAAATTTCCGGAAGTTTTCGAAATTTCGGAAATTTTCGGAATTTCGGAAATTTTCAAAAAAAGATAAATTATTTTATAATTAATGGATAAAATTTTATGTCTTAGTTAGGCAGTTGTTATGGTAAAATATTGTGAAGCAAATTTTAGAAACCTCCTTTGAAAAACAATTTTTTTGGTATTTTTTTGAGTTTTTTATTATAACTATAACTAGCTACTATGATCATTTGTTTTCAAAATTTTTTAAAATTGTTTTATCCTTTTATTTACTATGCATATTGATGTTCATTACCGTATTTGTCAATATCTATTGAATTGACCAACAAATTACTAAAAAATGTAAAATTATATATAAAACGATTTGATATAAATATTTGCAGTATTTAACAATTTTTTCTTGATTCAAAGACGTTATTGATTGATGAAAGGCAAAAAGTAAGGGAAATTTTTTTACTAAATTTGAACTATTTAAAAAAAAGATGAGCAATAAAAATAAAGAACTAATGATTTTGAGGTCATAAGTTCATCGCTATGTTTAAATAAGTGCGTTTAAGCCGTATCGCAGCGGTTAGCGCAATTGTCTCAGAAGGTAGAGATTCATTACTTTTTTTCGTTTTTATTTTATTTTTTTATTCTGTTGATTTTTTGTTGGAGATTTTTCTCATCACATTTACACCTGTAGTCATTAAATGTGTAGCTCGCAAAACATTTTTATGCAATCAAGTGGAAGCCAATTAGATATCTAACTTAGTATGTCTAATTAATATGGTGGAGTAGTTGTGACTAGTGAGACCAACAAGTATGACATTCAAGTCATTAGTAGCCTCGAATTTTTTTTTGATTAATGAACTTATCTACAATTTTGATTACTTGATTCTTTTTTTCTAATTTTCCATTCTTTATTGATAATAACCTAATAGGGGAACGCGAGGCAAGATGACAAATGTTTCGGAAAACGCCTACATCTTAGTCAATAACTGTCCCAAGTTTTAAAACTTGATTTAGAAGTGATAAATAATCATTCCGCGTCCGTCACTGATGTATCAAAAAATCACTCTAAAAATTAAAAATAGCTGTTGAAAAACTCATGAACCGATTATAACTCAAATCGTCATCTTGCCCCCGCATACGGGGCAAGATGGCAATTTGAGTTAACAAAGTTTAAGACTTTAAAAAAGAAAACTCTATGAAGCTATAAACGCCTCAAAAACCATCATCACAAATTCTTGTTAATAAAAAAAGCACTATAAATAAAGATGTAATTTTTAAAACTAATAAATTATTTATATCGGACTATGCAAAAAAGAAAAAACAACAACCTAGTAATCAGATTGTAGCAAACTCTAACGCAACAAAATGAAACTATTGTCAAACAAAATATTGTATTTCGTAATAAAATAACGATTGAACAATACAAGAATAGCAAACAGTATAATCTTCCGTTTAACATAGATGATGGACAAGCAATCTCGCCCCAGTCATCTTGCCCCAGGCTAATACAATCTTTAAAATGAATCAGAACTATACATAATCAAGTTATCGTAGCCTTATACTTCTTGAATGGCTTTCAGATTAATCAAACTAAATGGAAATTTCTCGCTTATCTTCAGTTGGTGATGTAGCGATGAAATAAATCAAGTCGAACGAGGATAAAAAGTTCTCAATGTCGGAAAAATTTTTTTAATACTTAACTTTCATCACATAAGTTATATTTAAAAAAAAAGTCTTTATAAATCTAGTAAATATAATCTTCTTCCCTTTCAGCTAAAGTCAGCTGTTATATTTAGTTTTGCTTAAGAGATCCATCGTTATCTTGCCCCATTCTTCATCTTACCCCATGTTCCCCCATGATCCATCAAGCTTTGAATAATTTTTTCTTGAAAGATCTTGTATTCATTTTTTTTTTTTTTTTTAAATTTAATTTGCCGTAATATACTATTTACAATAAGAAAAAAATTGTTTACATATATAAAAACGGCCGGAGCAAGAAGAATACGCATTGTCTTATCGCCAAGCCCCGTTTACATAGAAGCCGTCAGTTAATATTACAATTTAAAAACTTAAAACATAAAATAAATAACATAAAAAACAAAAATATATTTCTACAAGGATATTATAAAGTTAAAATAAGATATTAAAATAGCATAATTTTACAGTCATAGCATATTTAATGGAAAATAAAATCGCCTTTTTGTAAATTAATCATCGTATTATGAACTTTTACTATGAATACTTATTACACAGGGACTAATTGCCTAAATTTTTTCATTTAAACGGAGCACGGCGATAAGAGAGTATATGTCTTCTATTTGTTCAGGCTATTTATTTTATATTTACATTGTTATTATTATTATACAGCTAAGAAAAAAATAAAAATAAATTTGAAAAAAAAAAAAAAAATGCAAAACTTGATATTATAATCAATTATTGTATATTATATATTATATAGCATTTACACTCAAAACCGACAGAAAATCTCACAAAATGAAAGCATCTACGGTACATCAATAAATAGAATTTGTATGTGTGTTGTACAATATGCTAATGGCACTATATTTCTTAGCTCTACCCTCTGCTGGAATTCGAAAGAACAAAAAACAATCTTCGAGGAAATTCTTAAAAAAAAATTCTTAGATAATTATGTTTGAAAGATAATCTTGAGAAAAAAAGAAAAAAGAAGAAAAAAAACTTTAAGATGTTTTTTATGCTGAACAATACTTTAATTTACCTTACTTGTATAGTGGGTGTTTAATAAATATATTTAAAAAAAAATTTAACTTTCTTGTAAAATATCACTATATAAAGAATATATATTTGCATTTTTTTTTTCTTTAGCTGCAATCCATATTATCTCATAAGCTCTCTGTAACAAATGATAACGTTAAGGTTAAGGCACAAAACCTGTTATAAAATTATCTTTTGATGATAATTT